AATTACACAAAAAAATATATGTATTAGGTACCTGAAAGCAAGAGGTGCCGTTCGCACTCAAACATTATCCCGATAGGGAATTAATAATGATTGAGCAGCGCTCTTCCAAGCAACCTGATTTTTTATTTCTTTATAAAAATATCTTTCATTAAAAACTGTTTAAAGAATGCCACACTTTGGAATAGGTAAAATTGATGAATAAGCTACCATAAAAACATTTTTTTTTAATAAATTAAAAATTACACAACTTTTAATAAATTTAAAAACAAATCGGAAATCAAATTCTCTATTCTAAACCAATCTTCTATTTTTTATATTAAGCAAGATATTAATATAGAGACTGGAATCGGAAACCCTGTATATGCGGTAGTTATGAGCTAGTAAGTCACTTTTACCTGCCAAAGGGGTAACGAGGGTTAAATTTTGATTGTATTAGTTCTGGCGCGAATGTTTTTTATACCCTTAATTCTCATGTAAATTCGTCTAACAATCATCCAGGAAATTTGTTTAAGGATCATACATTTAGCAGGTTTGAAACCAATAAAGGTGTAGGGTACCACTGTTGGTTATAAAGGGTCAGTTGCTTAAGACATATTTACTGAATATAATACCGTGCTTTTTTAAAAGTTTTTTTGATATCGGAAGGATCATTTTTGGGTCGCTTGCTTATATATACACTACGTTCTATGATATTTATTTATGCATATAGTACCTATTTTCAACTTTTAGGAAACAACTTTTATTCTGCGAAATAAAATACTGACATTCTGTCGATAGTAGGTATGCAAAACGTGTGGAAAAATACTAAATTTAGTAATATTAAAAAAGATAGATACCTAGATAGGCGGAAAGAAATTAAGATATATAGTAGTTTGTACAAGAGTGGATATTTGAGCACGACGCCGTAGACTTCATATAGTTTAATTTAAAATAACAAATTATTTATTATAGACAAAATAAAAACAGAAATGCTATTACTTATCGACTCTACACAAGAATAACCCATTTTAATGTATGTTTAATCTCAATAACTAAAAAATATACTGACAATTAGTTTGACAGAATTATCACTCATTTAAAATTTTAAAAATAATAGCAGTCGGTTGATCAAAATATGAAAGGTGATTGCTGGATTTCATTTTTTGCAGTATTCTCACTACTTAGAATGGTTATGAAATATATTCGTTCAGTTGAAGGCAATAGCATATTTTTTCGTTTTGTAATCTGTATGCAGATAAGCTAATATCCATATGGGTATAGAAAAAAAATTACTAACTTGTATTGACTCGTTTTCCTTTTTTAACAAATTTAAACTTTTAATTTTGAATTTTAGATAATAATTTATCAAGTTAACTGCGGAACTAAAGGTCTAAAATTAATCTCAGTGGTAAATTTATTTTATAATGTAAGAGCAAGGGCAAGTAGATTCAAGTCATTTGTAAAAATCATGTTTAAACAAAAAATAATGGAAATTTTTCACTATCTTCTAGTCTATATTTTATTTTATTTTTAAAAAAAAGTTAATCATCCTACAAAATGTGAATGAACTACAAAATTAAAAGATACTACAATAGTAATTTTGCAACATTAGTAGATATGATGCCCATACGTACAGTATATTTTTTCTGCAAAATTTTAAAAATTAATTTAGAAAATATTAAGATAAAATATTTAAGTATGTTGAAGATAATTTATGACTTTTACTAATTTATTAAATAAAATATATTTTTTTTGAACTAAATTTGCTTATTTAGTCTTCATTCTGAAGTTGAATCCCAAATCTTTGCATTGGAACTCAGTGCTCTGTTTTTGCGCAAAAGAGACAAATATATTTTTTTTAATAATGGTAATTAGATTAGTTTAGACAGTTTTATTAAAATTTATGATTTTTATTGAAAATATAAATGAATATTTTGTGGAAATCCATTATTTATCGATTCTCCACAAGAATCACTCATTATTAATTATGTTTAATCTCAATAACTAAATTATTTACTGGCAATTAGTTTGACAGAATTGCCATTTATTTAAAAATAATGTTAGCTCGGTCACTACATATGAACTGTGATTGGTGGATTTAATATCTGTACACTGTCTTTACTAGAATGGATATATATTTATATCTGTTCAGTAGAACGCAATGTCCCACTTTTTCGTTCTGTAGTCTATATTCGTAGAATAGGTAATATCCATGTGGGTGTAGAAAAAATTGTTATAAACGTATAAGTAATATTAAAGGCTCTAATATTAATAATAAACCCCAAAAAACTTAAGTTAAGTTTGTAATGTCATTTTTTCTACACTCACATGGATATTTTATCTACGCACAGACTACAAAACGAAAAAGTATGTCATTGCGTTCAACTGAATGAATATATTTCATATCCATTCTACCTAGTAAGAACACTGCAAAAAATGAGATCCGCCAATCACAGTTCATATTTTGGTCACCCGACTACCATTATTTTTAAAATTTTATATAAATGATAAATTGTCAGTATATTTTTTAGTTATTTAGGTTAAATATACTTTATTTTTATTTATTTCATATTTTGAAAAAATAAATAAATTTTAATCAAACTATATGAAACTAATTTAATTGCGAGTATTAACTCTAAAATTCTAAAAAAGGCGGTGGAAATTAAATCTTTTTTTTTTCATGTTTATTTTATTTTATAAATTAGTAAAATTTCCAAATTATTATAAAATTAGTTAAATTTGTTTTAATAACAAAAAATATTTTTTTTTAATTTGTAGATTTCGTTAGTGGGCCGTGCACAACTCGAGTGGATTATCTATATCGCACCCAGATGATTCAGCAATCCGTCTTCGTGCGATATGGCCATCATATCCACTCTTGTTGCACACACTACTATTTTAACACTGATAATTAGATTAGTTTTAGATAGGTTTATTAAAATTTATAATTAATTTTGTAAATATAAACGAATGTCTTGTGGATTGTTTTGTGGAACACTATATTTATCGATTATTCACTCATTTTTGATTATATTTAATCTCAATAACAATTAGTTTGACAGAAGTTATAATTATTTAAATTATAAAAAATAATGGTATCCCGGTCATCACATATGAACTGTCATTGGTGAATTTGATATCCGTACACCGTTTTTACTAGAATGGATATGAAATTATATCTGTTCAGTAAAATATTCATATTTTTTCATTTTGTAGTCCGTTTAATATTAAAAATACAGTTAAAAAATTATAAACAATGTAATGAATGCAAAGTAGCACCATTCTTAAGTTTTTAATGTTATTTTTTCTATAAAACGAAAAGAATTTGCCATTGCGTCCAACTGAACGAATATATTTTATATCCATTCTATCTAGTAAGAACACTGCAAAAAAATTAAATTCACCAATCAAAGTTCATATTTTGATCACCGGGCTACTATTTTTTAAATGTTATAAGAGTGGCAATTCTTTCAAACTAATTGTCAGTACATTTTTTATTTATTGAGATTAAATATACGTAAAAATGAGTTATTCTTGTGTAGAATTAATAAATAATGGCATTTATATTTATATTTGGTCCACATTTACAAAAAACAATTATTCTCGATAAAAAGTTCTGTATCACTTGTGAATCCATAATCGAGTATTATTAGTATTATTACTTTCATCTTGATTTTATTATATTAAAATGTATTTGTGTGTTTTAAAAATAAATTGTTCTGAATTTAGAAGTTTTTAGGGAACATTAGAACAAATTACTACGGTAAATAAACATTTGAACAAATGCCAACAACAAAAAGTCAAATTCCAAATTTTAATAAAAAATACAATAATGTTTTAAATGTTTTTCTCAATAACATCCTGAATAAAACCAAGTAATCAAGAAGTTTGATGTGCCAAATCTATTAATTCAGTTTGTAAAATTTTTGTGGCATTTTACACAAATTTTAACGTTTTTAGTATATTTGTTTTTTTTTTGAGAAATAAAAATTGATTCACCCGTTAACTTTTCTTATTTTTAAAATAGTGTATCCTCATCAATGTTCAAGTTTTCTATTTTTTTTTGTAAATTTTTTTAATATTAAAAGGATAATCCAATTACCAATTTTACCTCTTTCTTTATAAATGGAACTAAGGTATTTCAACCCTAAAATTCATGGTTCTAACTTAAATTTTATCAGAAATGGCCGAACACCCAGTATGTATTACAATTTAATACAAATGTATTTTTCTCTTTTTTTTTTAATGGAAATTTAAATATAGATTTTCATGTCTGTAACACCTAATCGGTGTTACGTATCCCATTGTTTTTATCACCCCCCCCCCCCCCTTTAGGTTATAAGAAAATACTATCAAAAACGATTATTGAAATGTTATAGAAATACTCAAATAAAATTTGACCCACCCCCGTAACTTGAAAATGGCAAAACACGTTTTTTACAACCATTATCTTGATTATAGGAAAATGGCGATACAGGTATCTCTTTATTTTCAATGGAAGATCAAAAACGATTTTGGAAACGGAATTTTCAAAATTCCTTCCTTAGTGGGTGTGCCTAAAGGCATACTTTAACTTTAACTTTGTTCTAATGTGTATACAACAATGAGTTAACACAATACTTTATTCGAAGTGAAGCTATTTCATTAGATTTGGAAAATACTGTTTCTCTTAAAATGTTAGTCTTAAAGTGGAATCCTGGTATTGATTTTGGAACACCCTGTATCGCGATTAGATCTTTGTAAAGGTACGAAATATCTGCAAGTTTATGAATATGAGTGAGGATTTTTTTTTGTGATTAATATCTATATCACAAAACTGAACGTATCAATATTATTTGTTTACTTACGATGCACCATCAAATAAAATCGTAAATAACTACACCACTGCATTCGAAATTATCGCTAACAGGACACGAAAACAACTAAAAACTACCTGTCATCAGCATCCTGATACCAAAACATTCGTTCTAATCAATGAAAAATAAGTAGCAGAGCGATAACTAAGACAAAAAAAAACTTACCTCTAAAACCAACAATCTCTTCTAGATATCTTCCGAATTCCATTCTCTCTCGACTCAGCCACGTGCCACTGATAAAAAGAAACTAGAGAAACAATAACACTTAAATCTCGTCTCGAATTTCAACTGACAATGTCGAAGATTATTAATACGTGTTTACCTATCTATACCTGTACCTATCCTACCTATAACGAATTAAGATAAAATTTAACTTTGTATACAATTATTTTTAACCTATATTTATATGTATATATAAAAAAAAAAACTAAAAATCACATCACGACGCGTATCACAATTTGTTACAATAAATAGAAGTGTATATTAAATAATAAAAAAAAAATAAAAAAAATAAAAAATGCTTTGTATATCACGTGTAGGTATGTGTGTTTGCTTTGGTTGTCTGGAGCAGACTGAATTCTGCTAGATCGAAGAGGAAGCTGGATGGAGCCTCATAAAGGGAGTATTAGAGATGTTAGAAAAAGATCGGTTGCTGTTAAAGGGTGCTAGAAAAGGATAATGTCTTGGTAAAGGGACGAAATTGCGAAGAAAGGGTTGAAAATCGCAGGGTGCACAAAAGAAAGGATTCGGGATGGTAAAATTAGAGCAATTGAATGAAAGGGTTGAAAAATGGTAGGGATTGAAGGAGTGTTTTGTATATGGAAGGGATTAATGACTATGTATGATTGGTTGATTAAAAATTGAATTATTTTATTGTTGTAATCGACAAAATAAGACTTTTTTGGTTATTAAAATTCTTGAAACCCTACTAGGTGCGAAACAAGTTTACTTGTTTAATTTTTTTTTTAGAAAATATTGGTAAATAAGTAAACGAACTTTTTTTAAACATTTCGGCTGTGAAACTAAAGGATAAAACTAATAAATGTTTATTGCTAATTAAGCGTCCAGGTCTATGACATGGTTTATGATATACTACAGAGTGTTGAAATTTCAAATGGTCAATTTTGTTTAAGAGCGTTATCCATGTACTAAAATTGACTTAAAACTAAGTCCAAGTTTCCAAGTCTATTTTTTAATATTTTTTTTTATGAAATTTCGCATGCATATTTATGGAGTTGTGTACACTAGGGCTACGGAGTTTAAATTTTGATATATATATAAAAAACTAACCAATTATTGGGGAATTCGGCAAATAATATGTTAAAGAAAACTCTTTTTACTTCATCCAAGCTTTCGAAAATTTATTAAATCATTTCCATCATCAGGGTATACTACAAAATAATGGAAAATAGTTACAATGGACCAAATTAAACTAAAGTTACTACTTACAATAAGTTGAGATTGTACACTAGATGTTCTTACAAATTTGTGTATATTTTTCATAAAATAATCAACCAAATTTATGTATTATAAATTAAAATTAATAAAATTAAAGTTATTTCCTTTTCAATTCAGTTTCAATATACTCCGTTGTTCAATGTATAATTTATTTGTCACTAATTTGACATTGTATGTAAGGAGTGATCTTCTCAGTGACCAGGCCTTTCGCGTAATGTACTGGGTGTGTCGGAGAAATAGGAGAACTTTCCGACGAATTTTTTACACATAATAATAATAAAACACAGAAAACAACAAGCGCTTTACGCCAAAACTGCGTCGCATAGCAGCTTTCTTAAGGCGCACCCATCACACACTTAATTCTGTAGTGCTTCAAACCATCAAACAGCACTGCTCAGATAGAATACGGATGCTTATGATTGCTAAGCAAAATTTGGTGAGGCGAGTGAAGTGTTTGGAGCAGAATAGAATATTTTGCGAAAAACCTTCACGACTGTTTAAAACGCTCTTACCTGTTGTCGAGAATCCTCCTACAATGGAACAAGTGGAAACCTTCTGGAAAAGACTTTATGAGGAACAGGTACCCCTTGATCAAGATACTGCAGCTCTAGGACAGCTTGAGGCATTTTGCAGAGAATTATCAAAAAACCAAATACAACACCAACCAATTACTGCAAATGACGTTCGAAGCGCTCTAGAGGGTGCAAAGAACTTCGCTGCCCCAGGTCCAGACAGAATACAGACTTACTGGTGGAAAAAACTAACAAATGTCCATCCACATTTGGCCAGAATATTTAACTCTTAGTTGAATGGGCAACAGTATATTCCAGGTTGGTTTGTTCAAGGACGTACCGTGCTACTTCCCAAAAACGGAGATCTTTCGCAACCAGAGAACTATAGGCCAATAACATGCCTTAATACGTGCTACAAACTGTTCACACGTATACTGTACAAAAGAATTCTTGAAGCAGTTGACCGAGTCTTCAATCAGATCAACGAGCAACGTGGATCCAAAAAAGGCGTAGCTGGCCATGATAACTTACCAATAGATAGAACTATCACACATGATGCCAGGTGGTACAAGCGAAACCTATCCATGGCCTGGATCAACTATCGTAAGGCGTTTGACACAACTTCGCATGAACTTATCGCACAGTTGTTGAGAACCCTCTCGGTGCCAGACCCTATAGTGGGATGCATACAACAACTTATACCACTCTGGAAAACCCGCTTTTCTATTACATCTGGAAATGCGAAGGTCGAAACAGGGTTGGTATCATTCAGAAGAGGAGTATTCCAGGGAGACTCCCTGAGTCCCCTTCTATTCTGCATCTCTCTAATTCCGTTGTCTGTGGCACTACGAAAAACTCGGGGATACTTATGTGGCCCATCTGGAAATCGAAGACATAAAGTCACTCACCTTTTTTACATGGACGACTTAAAGATTTATGCATCCAACGAGAGGGAACTCAAACAATCCCTACAGGTAGTACAGGAGTACTTTATATTCAAGACAGCAAGAAGAGCAGCTGAAGGTCTTGACCTCGTATTTGATACATCGCGAAGGAACCTAGAATCCATTGCCGAGTTACCCCCTGTAACTTTGAAACACCACATCAAAGTTGCAGAACAGGTTATGCTAAAGCAGCAACATATGGATAAGCCTATGCATAGCGTTTTCTTCAGAAACATCAAAGAGCTAAGCTTATCCAAGCGACTGACATTTGCCTTTCTAAGGTCAAGTGGCCTCAAATCAGAAACTGAAGGATTTATAATGGCCTGTCAAGATGGGGTTTACAACACTCTTGTATATCGTAGAAACGTACTATGTTTCGACACGCCCGACGTTAGCTGCAGGGCCTGCCACAGATCCCAAGAGACAATCATGCATTTACTATCCGCATGTCCGAAATACGCAGTCTCGGCCTACATCCACCCAGACAACACACCAAATCCCAGAGATATCCGCAGAATATCTTTTGTGGATATCCAATATATCCACAGGATATCAGAAATATTCCGTGGATCTAATATGGATATCCAAATGTCCGTCTATGTCCAGAATATAGAAGATATCATATGGATATCCAGCAAAATATCTAATGAGTATCTTCCAGGCAATACAAGAACTCCCAGAGATATCCACAGAATATATTCTGTGGATATCCAATATGGATATCCAACCAAATGTCCGTCTATATCCCAGGATATAGAAGAATTCGGATATTCTGCAAAATATTTTATAGGTATCTTTAGTAGAGGTTCATAAGTAACCAATGATTATTGAATAAAGTCGAAAGAAAATAGCAGAGATAAAAAATATTTTCAACACTCAAAATATTTTCAATACTTTGCCTTTGATTTTGCCCACTAAGGAGAAAGTTATCCTTGTTAGGACTCTTCAGCAATAAATGGAAATTCTCGACTCCAGTCTCTAATGGAGTCTGATTGTGAAACAAATTTTGATCGAACTCAATTACGGCGGGTTGAGCATGAGTAGATGCGAAAGGAGTATCGCCATCTATACTTAGTAAGCAAAATCAAAAATTACATCTAGTGGATATCCACGATGGTTTGCGTTCGCGCCTAGACTTTGATATATTTAGTGGATGTCCATGGGATATTGAGTACACCTTAAAAAAATTAATTTTAAATATCTAAACGGTACTATTAGCCGCAATTGCGAGCACAATGGCGTAATTTTTTAATAATTTGTTATATAATTACTATTATTTATGGACATTTGCATGTCTATAAATTACAGCTCATGGATATAAAATAGATATCCTCCATGGACTGGACATTCAGTGGATATTGGGATGTTCAGTAGATATCCAAAGGATTTGGTGTGCTGTCTGGGCAGCGATACAATGCAGCTCTGCGAGTGCTTTACTTCCATCTGAGACACTTATAGTATAGATGAGACACCGGTTATACCTTACGTACAGGAGGAAATAATAATAATACTCTCCCTAATTCACTCGAAAAACTCATCCACCACCATCACCAATAGTTTAACACTCAAATAACGATACTTTTTTTTTTAATTCTAGAATCATAAAGAAATAAAAAAATATTTCTCAAATTTTAAAACCCTTAGGTAAACCTTTAGGTAAACTTTTTCAATTTCTTAAGAATTTAGTTTAATTTTATTTAATTTTTGTAGTATTTCCTGATTCAAAAAATCAGAAAGCAATCCTTTATTAGCAGACTTTAAAAGCATTTAAATGGCAATTTAATTATTAAAATAGCAATAGTAACTAATATAATTATTCAAAATGTTTATTCCATTTTTTAAAAATCCATGATCCGCCTTTGGTAAGTTACATAGTTTTCTGCAAATGTAAGAGAATTAAGCAAAAATTTTTTATAAAGAGATGTGCGTATAATGTAGTCTACTGCCCCCTTTGCCCTCTTCGCAGCGTATACTATTACTACCTCTAAATATTTAAATTTTGCAACTTCCTGAAATTTTACTGTGGCGTACTTGCTGGTTTTATTCGATATATATTTTCCAATTCTCATTGTTTTTGTTTTATTCATATTAATATAATGGCGATACCTAGTTTTCTTCCATTATATCCCTTCTTTAAATTCATGTAGTTATAACAAGTAGTATAAAAAAAAATGTTCTAGAATGCTCATCGAAAATCCTTGTACAATTTAAATTCCCGCTTAACGTACGCAAACGACGGTTACTTTTTTGTAAATATATCCTCTGAGAATTTTCTAGACCAAAAGATAACCCTCGGAAGGAAATATAGAGTACCGAATTAGAAAAATAGTACGCATTAAACCTTACCTTCGGAATGAAAACGTATCAAAACTCATTTTCT